ATTATATTAAAATGTCTCAATGCGGATGTGCAACTAAACTAAACTCCACTTTACACTTTAAGATAATTTTAAATATAAGAGTAACGTTGATGTTTTTTAAAAATGTGCCGTGACCCGGATTCGAACCGGGGTTGCTGCGGCCACAACGCAGAGTACTAACCTCTATACGATCACGGCGAGCTATCGCTGCGGACGGGAAACCACGAGTACTGTGATGTGTACTTCAATACTGTAGTAGTTTTATGACGTCATTTCACCTCGGACATAATACAAATACATGTCGACAACAAAGATCACGCACAGTTGTATCACTGATTCTAAAAATGTGGATTAGTTTCAAAAAATAACTATTAACGTCACATTCCGCATGTAGTCTTCTTGTTTCATTCATTTTATTTTACCTCCTTATATAATTAGACAGTTGTATTTCACTTCCTGATCTTATCATCGTTTACAGCTTTGGTGGGAAATTATTTAAAAAAATAAATGGGCGGATTAGAGGAGTCGAAAAAAAACATCGGAGCCGCACAGCCTCGTTTTTCCGGATCTCGGGTCAGGGGGCGCGGCTTGGTGGAAGTTTAAACCCGGAGCCCCGCCGCTGATTGGTCCGTTCGTGTACACTCTCTGCTCATTGGACAAAACGCGGCCGCTCCTCGCTTCTGATTGGCTCGCAAACGACACGGCCGCATTTCAAACTGGACCTCTGTTGCGTGTTGAGCGTTTGAGCGTCAGTGCGAAGTTTAACTCAGCGCAACGGGACACATGCGTTAAAAAAAAAAGAAAAGAAGAAGAAGCTAACAACGCAGCATGTAGCTAGCTGCTGCGCTAATTCACATCGTTTTAAAATGGCGGAAACCTCCAGTTCGGCGCGGCGAGGGTTTCTGGAGATCAGCCCGGGGAGGAGAGGCGACGCTGACAAGGAGAACCACGTCCCGGTTCTGAGTCTCATCCAGTTTTCCAAAGCTCCCTTCGTCGCGTTCGGGACCGTGAAGCTCGGAACCTCCAGGTCGGTGGTGCTGCGGGTGGAGAACCCGGCAGAAGATGCGGAGGCCGAGGTCAGAGTGGAGAAGATCCCGTCGAGCAAAGGCTTCTCTGTGGACCACAGCTCCTTCACCATCCAGGTAAGACACCGACCAGGGGGAGGTGGGGTTCTGTGAGGGAGCATCCTGAGGGGGAGGCTGACATCCAACATGTCACTGAGCTTTAAGAGATACAAGTGGATCAGGTCATAAACACCATCTTTCTGCAACAACTCCCATTTAAAAAACTGTTATTGTGAAAACCATCTGGGATTAGATCCTCTACTGTCACACGTTCATACAAACAACCACCTGCCATCACTGATGTGTTCTTCTTTTCAGTGTCTACAGATGTTGTTTTTTTTTAATCTACTACAATGTGATTAAGTTTTGAAACTGAGATGAAACTGTGCATGTTGTTGTCACCCAGGTTCACGTCTGGTGGTGGTTCTCCACCGCTCTGTTGTCTTTTACTACTCAAAACAAACGTAACTGAGTACGTTAGTAAAGTTTATTTGTTCACAGACAAGAGTCACAAAGTACTTTACAGGACGAAACCGTTTGAAAACACTGACACCCTTACATGTGCAAACACGAACAAGAAGAAGAAGAAGAAGAAGAATACAGAGTTCAGTTACATAAATCCCCTGAATGCCTGTTTAACAGTTTCTACAGAATGTGTCGGTGGGTCGTTCAACAACTTCGGTGCTATAAGGCTTTAGACTGTTGCATGAGATGTGGAAAAAGCTGTAACTGCATCTATTGCAAAACCTGCAGTGAAGCCAGATATTGATTTGTTTGCAGCCTGAGTCCTCGTTCAGTTTGACGATAACCTGGACTCCAGCAGAGGAAGGTGGGATCAGAGAGCTCATCGTCTTCAACGCCAACGGGGTCCTCAAGCACCAGGCTGTGATGCTGGGGAGAGCCGAGGCATTGAAAAAGAAAAAGGTACGTTTGACTTTTTGTTTTTAGATCATGAAAAGAGTTTTTTTTTTAAAAGACGGTTACACAAAACCATGGTTGATAGATTCAGTTTGTAATATTTCAGTTTTGGTTCAGATTAAATTCAGGGCAAAGTGGATAGAGAGTCCATAAAACAACTACAATGGTCTTCACTTTTCATACTTTTATTTTTTTCTGTGTGTTTCAGAAAAGCTTATGGGACACAATCAAAAACAAAAATGAAGGAGGAAAGGTTGCTGCCCCGCGAGGAAAGAGAACGGAGCCCCCGCTGAAGATGGCGGCCAACAAAACCTTCCAAGTGTCCCGAGAGCCGCGGTATAAACGGGACAAGCCACGCAGCCCACTCGCTTCGCTCAACGAGGGCAAAGCCACCCGGGAGAGGTCGCTCACGAAGCAGAGTCCCGTCGACCATCGTCGCTCTCGCACATCGGAGGAGCTCAAGGCTTCAAACCCCAAACTGAGGCCACAGTCTCTGGCCTTGTCGGACCAGGAGAACATCTATCACATCCAGAGGAGCTCTCCCGTCGTCCTGCTCGTCCCAGCCGCGAAGCTGAGGGATGCGTCCGCCAGCCCAGAGGTCTTGGCGATCAAACCTGAAAACAAAGATATTACCAAAATACTGAACCAGACACTTTCACCCATCGGGACACCAGAGAGGTTCAAGAAACTCATGCCTCGTATTCAGACAGAAAGCCCTCTTTCTGCCACAGGAAGGTCTGATGACGATGATACCAGCGAGTTACCTGGAACCCCAGCTCTGTCTCTGAAAGATGCACTGGCCCTCATTGACTCTGATCTGAGCTTCACCATCACCAGTCCTCCAGGCAATAGTTCCAGCTGTGTCCTGTCAGATTCACTGGAATCCAAGAGTGGGACCGACAGCAGAGGACTCGACAGACATCTCCTCAAAGCGTTACCGGACAGCCCCGAGGTGGCCGAGTCAAATGAGCCGAGACTGACCTTCTTTGTCAGCAACAAGGTCGTCGCGGACGAAGAAATGGTAAAAAAGACGTCTTTCACTTCTGCCACAGTGATCAAGAGCAAAGCACCGACGGAGGAAAACAGTCTGAGTGGAAGGAAAATCAAGAAGTCCAGGCGGCGGCTCTTGGAGAAAACGCTGGAGCTCTCTGACAGCAGCGGTCAGTGTGAGTCGGGGACAGGTACACCTAAACTTCCTGTTATAGATCCCGACACAGGAAGTACAGGAAGCAGCCGTCTGTGCGACGACACGCATCAAATGCCAGAGTTCATCTCTTCCAGCCCGACTCCAGGATTCTATGGCTCGAACACACCCATCACCTTCCCCATCACCTCCCCTCCATCCACGGCTCCCACTCGCTTCTCCTTCTCCCTCACCTCCCCACCTCCTCCTGCAGTCGTCCCCGCTTCCATTTCTTTCACTCTCACCTCTCCGTCACCCTCGTCTTGTCCCCTTCGCCGCGACCTCTCATCAAGCCCTGATGTGCACGAGCAGCGTCCAGCGGCCGCCGCGCCTCCGTCCACCCAGGAAGACTCATTTCCCGTTCACGTGGCAGTGAACAGCAAGAAGAGGAAGAGTGAGGAGTATCTGAGGAGCGACGTGAAGGTGCAGGAGGCGGTGAAGCCTGACAGGGTCAAGAGGAGCAAAGTGGTGGCAGCAAAAACTGAGTCCTCAAGATCAGTGCAGGAGAGAAGTGCATCACAGAGGCAACAGCGGAGAACAGCCGGTGAGCAGCCGTGACCCGTGAATTATTCCCTGGGAAGTGAAACGTATTTGTTTCTGGACCCTCGGTGTTGACGATGCTTTATTTCCCCTCAGGTTCAGTTCGCTCAACGTCGTCTCTGCAGAGCTCACGGTCCGTGGTTCCCGTCCCGGCCAAGCGACCGAGCTCCAAACACACCCCACGAGGTAGAAAATGATCTAATCGAATAAGAGTTGACGTCTGATAAAAGACTCCGTAGATGTCCGTGTGAATCATAACTTTTTGCAAATATTCCCTCGATTGTGATAAAGAATCTGTTTCTTACAGTTGCACCATCTCTAAAATCTGCTTCATCTGTGAGGACGGCAAAAGTTGTTGCTGTTGCGCAGTCAAGGCTGACGTTCGTTAAGCCGCTGCAAACAGGTATGTGACGGCAGCGCGTAATTTAATATATAACACAACACGTTTTAGTTATACAGCAACTTTCAGACACCAGGTGCAGCTCAAAGTGCTTAACAGTAAAATAAGAGATCAATAAGAACACGTCAGCAATAAAACACAGACTTTTGATGAATTTTTCCACAAGAGGTATTTATTTTAAATATTTAAAATTATATTTCACTCTCGTCATCATCTTCTTCTTCCAGCCATACCGAGGCACCCGATGCCTTTCGCTGCCAAGAACATGTTCTTTGACGAGAGGTGGCTTGAGAAGCAGGAGAGGGGATTCACGTGGTGGATCAACTATGTCCTCACCCCCGACGACTTCAAAGTCAACACCGAAGTTGCTAAAGGTAACGGATCGGACGTCACTGCCACCGGGGAAAGTTTGTCTTAGTAAAAGAAACAGGAACGAATAACTTTCAGCTCATTAACTGATGCAGTGGACTTTTTATATAAATCATTTTAAAGCAGTTGATCAACGTGTCGAGCTCTGACCGCCTCGTCCCAGACACTGAACTCAAACACAACTTGAACTCTTCCCATTTTTAAAGTTTCCTGCTGAACACTGGAGATAAACTCTGGTTGTTAATAACGTCTCAGTGTTTTTAACTGATCTTCCGTTCAGCTTCACTCTTCGACTGTCTGGAGCTGATTCTGACGGTTGAAGCTGTGACTCTCAGTCACTTCCTCTCACAGGCGATCGAACCCACTCACCAGAAGTTTTAAATGAGTTTGCACGTGTGAATTAATAACCCTGCACTACATTATTGTTCGTGTGTTTTATCTGCGCAGTGAGCGCCGTGTCCCTGGCGATGGGCAACGACGACAACTTCAGTGTGCCCAAAGCTCCCACCAAGGAGGAGATGTCTTTCAGCACCTACACGGCCCGACGGAAGCTGAACCGCCTCCGTCGCTCAGCCTGCCAGCTGTTCACGTCCGACGCCATGTCGAAGGCCATTCAGAGGCTGGAGGTGGAGGTGGAGGCCAAGCGGCTGCTCGTCCGAAAGGACCGCCATCTTTGGAAGGACATCGGTGAGTAAGAAACCCGGGGATGTCCAGTTCATTGTGATCTGAAGTTCATATCGAACTCCGGATTCATCTAACTTTATTTTCTGTCTCGTTTAAATTCTCAGGTGAACGCAAAAAATTGCTCAACTGGCTTCTCTCCTACAATCCGCTGTGGTTGCGGATCGGCCTTGAGGTATGTGACACGACAGAGTTTTTTCCTCAGAGAACGTTTAATAGTCCGTTGATATCGACACTAAACCTGCTGCGTGTCCTCAGACAATCTACGGGGAGTTGATCTCGCTGGAGAGCAACAGTGACGCCTTGGGTCTGGCCATGTTCATCCTCCAGCGGCTGCTCTGGAATCCAGACATCGCTGCAGAGTTCAGACACCTCAAAGTGCCTCACCTCTACAAAGACGGTAATTCAAGAGCACCGGTCGTTAAAAGTCCAAAGTAATTTAATTTACAGTTCATCAGAGTGATGAGATCCAAATCCACAGACTTGAGTTTTGCTCCAGAAATGTTGTGTATTCTATTTACGATTACATTTTGTATTCGCTCAAGAACAAAACAACTTTTCTCAGTGTTGTGTGAAAATCTCTTACTTTCATACTTACATTTTCTGTGTTAGGCCACGAGGAGGCGCTGTCTCGCTTTACGCTGAAGAAGCTGCTCCTGCTGGTTTGTTTCCTGGACAAGGCCAAAGAGTCTCGGCTGATCGAGCACGACCCCTGTCTGTTCTGTGTGGACGCAGAGTTCAAGGTTGGCCAAGACACCCCCCCCCCCCATATCAACAACATTGAATACACAAGTAAAGGGAATGTGAGGGAGCATATACTGGACAAGTTGCTATTATATTTTT